TTAAGCTCATTTCTAGATGTGGTATTTTAACTAACATTATTAAGCATTTCTATTATTGTAACACAAACACATCTTATATAATATTATCCACTGGTAACGTTATGTTGTATGCACATCAAATACATTATGAGAACATAAAAAGAAGAGTCCATTATTAAACAGTTGGTATTTCATATTCAGTAGAAGGTGGTGGAAGAGAAGTCTCATATTCATCATTAGTTGTATCATACACTGGCTCAACAGTTGATCTATTAATAATAACTTTAAATAATAATAATAATTGTATTTTATATAACTGACTGTGTTTGTTCACTTTGTTGTACTGTATCATATGTTGGACCATCCTTCACTGATACATCATCAGCAGTACTGTATGTGTATGTATGTAATGTACTATTCAATAGTGTAACTAACTTTGTTTTAAATTCAGTTGTAGCATAAGCTGGACTGCATTCCGTTACAATATCATTATCTGACTTTCTATGAACCACAAATTTTTAAGTAATGAATGCATCCATTTATATACCTCTTTTGATTAATATTAGTCCTTTTTATGTACACAGCCTGCATCAATATAACTATTATAGCTACAGCCAATAGTGATGCTAGTACTATCACACCAACTATCCATCCAGCAATATTCCCTCCATTATTCACTAGTACAGTAACAGTAGTTGTCACAGTAGCACAAACTATTAGTAGAACTAAATACAATTTGTCATTATAAACTTGCTTACCATGAGCAGATGATAAAGACACTGATGATGAAGTCAACACTGCTAATGCAAGTCAGTAAACTGATAATAATGGGCTTGTGTTATCTTACTTGTTGATGTTCCTGTAGCAGTGACTGGTGGAGTACCTGTAACATGATCATTGTGTGACTGATGTATGAAAGGGGCCAGTGACTTACCTGAAGTTACCATTACAGTTGATGTTTGAATCACAATTGGTACCATTGAAGAGCTTGATACTGCAGTAGGAATTAGAGTGACATCTATAGTATAACCAAACTATACATTTGAGTTATTTCACTTTTATATACTTAGTGATATTGGTTGAGTCTTCTCTCCTTCATAAATGATTCCATT